GGGGCGTTGAAGGCGCTCGAGAGGGTGACTGGGGGGGCGAAGGGCGGCGAGAGGGTGAATGGGGCGGTGAAGGACGTCGAGAGGGTGAATGGGGTGGCGAAGGTCGTCGAGAGGGCGAACGTCGATAACCATTATTGAAAAAGAAATCGATAAATAGATTATTTCGCTACTTAAGCATGTACTTTACTATATTAGCTCATCTTATAATTCGCGTTTTCCTATGATTGCTTTTTTTTCCCAATAAAGTATTACTTCACTTCCTGATAAATACTTTTATGGTCATCGATCTTTTTTCATACGAAATGCTGATGTCCTGTAAAGAAACTGAGACACAAAAGTCGTGAATTGGGTTGGACTGGATTAGTTTCATTGGAGGAGAAAGAGCAAGAAAATGTGAAGAAATCGTAGCTGTATTCTGCTGTTGTACATCAAGCAAAATAACAATATTGCCTTAACAGGTAAATCATGGCATTGTGCATCACGTCTAATGCAAAATACACGATGAAAATTCTTCTCCCGACGCAGTTTGTTATGCAAAGGAGTTTTTCTAAGGGAAATCATTCTGTTCAACCAATCTTGCATCTTCCTATTTCATATAAATAAATGTACATCTGGCATTTGCTTTATAAATTATTTTTCTTTATTATTTTTTGCATTTCACCTGCTCTTTTTGTATACGACTACTTTAAAAACACTCTTTCTAATACAATTAATTGTACTTAGATGGATCAATCGCAAAGTACCCAACCACTCATAGTAGACTATATGCAATCGATCATCCTGATCATGAATAGTACGTTTCGAACTTAAAATAACTTTTCTTGTCTTTGAGACATTGAATTTTCTATGGGTGTTGGTGCATGCATCTGTTCGTTTTAGATATTTAATAATGCTTTTCTATTAGAATAGTAAGATTGCTTCTTATGAAAAACACACAGCCATCACTATCCATTGGAAACTGAATATCTCATAGATAAAAAAGTTATTTTTAGTTTGAAACTATTCGTAACCAGGATGCTGGATTTCATACAGTCGACTATGAATGATTGAAGAAAACAACGTCATTTTCCTGCGGTTTGAATCACCGTTTTTTGCTAAATCAGGCTTAAAAAGGATCCAGCTTAGATCTCGATCTCGTTTTAACTACCATCCGTGGCATGTTATCCCGTTTCTTTTACAGAAAAAGTGATTTAATACCTGAGACCGTTCCCTCGTTAGTATAACTTCGAAATATTACCCAAAAGTTTTGCATCTATTTAAAAAAACAACCTAGTGTCTTGAAGATATAACCTACCGTATCTGTGTTATAATGGCTGTGAAGATCAGTTTTCAAGAACCGTTTATCCATCCCTGTAAAGATCAAAGATTTCAAAAAGGAAAAAATTCAATGTACGACGAACAGCTTTCAAGTATCAGTACCAGAGTTTTTCAAAATCTTGTTCTAGGGGCGAGGGGGGGGGCGATCTCTAGAAACCGGGTAAAAAAGGATAATTTATTTTCAAGCTGATTCGAAATCTCTTAGGAGCCATTGCATGTAAGCCACGACCTATTACAGCGGAGTGGCCTTCAATCGATGCTCTCGAAACTTTTCCAAAGTAGGGGGCTTTTGTAGACCAAACATTTTAAGGAATTTTGGTAAAAGGCGCAAATCAAAAGTTGTATCGTTGCTGAGATATTGAT